CGCACCCTCCTGGCCCTGCTTCTTGGTGGTTCCTGCCTTTGGGAGGGTCCCAAGGGGCGCCATGTTCTCCGTCACGCCATATCGGATCAATCCTGCCTCCTCAAAGCTCGGCTTGCTCTGGACTGCGGGCTCCAACCATTTTTGCAAGAAGGTCTTGGACGCTGCACTGGGCGCATTCGACGACTTCTTCGCAGAGTCACCCCCTCCGTTGGCATGCTGGTGCGGGCTGGAGAATCGCGACCTCGTGGCTCTCGTGCTCGTCGGCATCATGTCGAAAGGGCTCTTCTCGCCGGAAGGGCTCTCTGCGGCGGCCCCTGACCTCCTTGCCTTGGACCAGACTGACAAACGCTCCGAGTCGGAAGCCTGCAATCGCGTTAGTTCGTGTCTTTGCAGAGGAAAGGGGGAGTTGGCTACTTCTCTGGTCTTGGAAGGCATTCGGTGATGCGTTCTAGGCGCGTTCCCTCCACTTGCGACGCGAGAAACTTGGTGGGAAGGAGGGATGGGAGAGAAAAAGGGTGCCGAGCTGCGGGATTGGTCTCGAGGATTTTCGGAGTCGACGGACTGGGGGTGGTGTGGGCTAAGGAGCTACGGTGCAGTGTAGGTACCTACAAAGCTACCTTACCACGGCGGTGGGCGGTGGGCACGGGGGGGGCTGCGAGGGCACCAGATGGCGAAGTGCAGGGGGGATGGGGGGCCAAGTCACAGCGCTCTTAGGAGCCAGTAGTTTGATGCCACAGCATGCCAAAGCCTTTGACCTCGCTGTTGGCCCTGTGACTTACACACCCGGCTCACCTCACTGGACGCGCTCATAAGGTTTCCAGCTTACTGCACGTTGGCGTCAATCCGTTGTCACTGGATTGGACTGTCTTCTTCGCCTCCTTCCTTTTCCTCTTGAACCTGCTGGGCGATGGGACTCGAGGACGTCACTTGATCTTTGTTTCTCGAAGAACGAACACATCTACCTTTCCTGTAGACGGTTTGAAGTAATGGCGGGACGGGAGAGCTCTTTATCTCCAGGAGCTCACCTCCTTGGGTCTCCCCCCGACGCTCGACCTGAGAAACGAAGTTTGGATACTCGGGATCCAACTTTGCTTCCCACCCAGGGGGCTGGGTTCTGCTGCGGGTGCGGGTGCTCACCACGCGGTACAGTCGCCATTTGCCTGGGCGGGTCCGCGTCTCTACCGTATCGACGACGACCAGGGTGAGCGACGGGCAACCTCTGGAATTGGGCATTCTGTTCCACTCATCCTCGTGGCCAACTTTCTCTTCCCCCGGCCGACGGCTTCTCCTGGGGTGCTGGGTCTCATCGGCAGAAACGCCCCTGTTCCATCTCCGTTCTCAGACATCATCACTTTGCGACAAACCATGCGGGATATCAGCAGTTTTGTTCTCACACGTCCCCTACGACGCTGATGCTTGGGGGTCACTGGGATCCGGGTCGGTCAGGGAAACGGGCTCAGTGGAATGGTATATGAGATGCGCGTATGCGTGCAGATGACTTGTCTTTGTTGGGGCTGTTGCATCAGGGCACCAGGCTTTCCGACCTATCCTCTGCCAACAATCCGGCACATCCAGGGCTGCCTGCCTCGGGGACTTCCCGCATTGCCAATCAAGCCGGCTCAGTGAGGCTTTCATCGAGAACCGTCGCTTCGCTGACACTCCGGCAAACAGTTTCGTAGCCCATCAGCCACCCAGCGTCGGATAGCAAGGACAAGCGCACCTGTTTCCGGCCTCACCATGGCCACACGGCCCTATCGTTTGTCCAGGGAGTAAATTCACACATTTGACTTTCACGAACGAAATTTTGTGGGCGCAAAATCGGGCCGCCCCCTTTATCCTTATTGATAGTCACTGCTGTTTTTCCACTTCTGCTTACTCCTCGTCGCTCTCCTCCTCCGCCTCACCGGCGGCAGCCTTCTTGGCGGGCTTCTTCTTCTTCTTGTTCTTGTTTTTGCTCTTGGTGGTATTTCTGGACAGAGGCTGCTCAAGAATCTTGAGGATCTCCTCGTCCTCGATCTTCTTGTCAGACTTGACCTTGCTGAGGTCAAGAGCCGGGGGGGCACCGAGCTTGGTGATGCCGTTCTTGGTGATGGCTGCGCAAAAGTTAGCTGGTTGCCTAGGGATGATGACGGCACTCCATCGGGAGGCTTACCAATAGTGGTCAGGTAGCGAGCGACGGGGGAGTTGTCCTTGTCGCCAACAACCTCGTAGGCACGGAAAACGTTGCCGCGAACGCACTCAACGACACCAGACTTGGCATCGCGCTCATCCTCGAGCTGGCGCAAGCTGAAGGGGAAGGTACCGAACTTCTTCTGGACCTCGTTGAGGATCTTGCGGGAAGTCGGGCGCTTGAGGCCGTAGGTCTGGAGGGTACGGCGGTGCAGAGTGGTTCTCTGGTCAAAGGTCTTGACCTTTCCAGCGCCCAAGCTCACGCCCATCTCGACACCCCAGACCTCACCAATCTCGGGGGTACCGTCGCCCTTGGTGCCCTCGGCGGGGGCAAGAACGATCTTCTTCTTGCCCTCGATCTCGTTGCGCTCAAAGAGCCATGACGTGGTGCTCTCGACGAGGTTGCAGTCGTAGGCCTTGACGACCTTCTCGAGCAAGCTGGTAATCTTGGCCTGGCTGGGGGCCTTCTCGGCGCTGGCCTTGGCCTTCTCCTCATCAGTGCCGTTGGCCAGAGTGCCGGGAGGCAGCATCAAGCGAAGGAGGAGCTCATTGGCGTAGTAGTTGGCGAGGATCAGGTCAGCAGAGCGGCCAGTGATCTCCTCGGAAGCCTTCTCCTTGGGGGCAGCGATGATGGTGTCGCAGACGATGGAGCCGAAGCCGTCAATCTGGGCGCCGAGCTGGATCTTGATGGGCTCGCCCTCCTGGATCTCGACGTTGGCCTCGGCCTCGTCGGAGGTCAGAGGAGTGTAGGGAGTGACGAAAGAGGCCGGAGAGACCGTGGTAGGGTGAGAGAAGCCTGCGCGAAGCAATCACGGTCAGCAACGGGAGGTTCGAGGGGTGGCCAGAAGGGGGACTTGACAAACCCTTGTTGACCTTCTTTCCGCGGTAGACCTTGGCAAGCTCCTCCTCAATGAGCTTGTCGCCCTTCTCGCAGATGGTGACGATCTTCTCGCCGGGGACACATAGCTCGGCGACAGCAGCAAGGACCTTCTCAGAGATCTGAGCGGCGGTCTTGTACTTGGTGAGGGTGTCGGGGTTGTTGAGGGTGTAGTCTACCATACAGTTAGCTCCATGAACGAGTCCGCGATGGAAGGGCAGCTCTCCAGGCACGAGTCTCGTGAGCCTGAGCCGCAGCAGCGTTTGCTATGGCTGCTTGGGGCGTGGCGGGGTAGCAGCGTGGGCTGTTTTTGGTGTGTGACGCAAAGCAGCAGAAGGAGCAGCAACACACGACCACGCGAAAAGAAAATAGCAGTAGCAGGAACGGGCAAGACGGGGCAACTGACCGATCTCCTTCTCGTCCGACATCTTGGCGGTATTTTTGATCAAGGAATTGCCTACAAATCAAAGGGATATCTCAAGCGATTGTGGTGCACTGGTCCAGGATCTCAAAAGTGGGAGAAGCTGGAACTGCTGGATGTGCGGGAAGATGCAGTGCAGAGTTGGTGTGCTCGGGGCTGGTATTTTTGACGACGAATACGTCGATTTTCAGGGCGGGGAAGGAGGGGCTAGCTGCTGTTTGTGGGTGCTCGGGCAGGTCAAGCAGATGCAGTTCCAAGGTCCAGTCTGATGTACCTGTGGTGGAGAATTTGCGCCGGGATCGCTTAGAGTCGTTACGTCGGTACGTGAGTGAGGTAAGGTAAGGTACTTTACATAGGTACGCCCACCAGCGATTCAACGAATCGTTGTTGACGGTTCACGCGGCAGCAGGAGAGAGATGGGAGCGTTTTTGTGCCGTGCTACCTGTGGTCGGGTGAAGCCTAAATTGTTCCTTGACAGTGAAGCAGGCACCTGAGGCAAGGTGAAGGTAACCAGAGCTCAGGTACCGAGTGCCCAGCCGCCTCCAAGGTGAGGGGTTCCAGGTGCATGACCCAAGGTGAGGTAGCTCCGGCTCGAGGTGTACTCGGTGAATGAAAGAACCTTTTCTCGGCTCAGCCCAACCAGAGCTGAAGCTGCCGATGCTCACAGCTCAGGGCAACCCGTCATCCCACCAACCTCAAACCGGCAAAAGCCCGGGCCGTACCGTAAGGCCACATGGGATCTCTCCAAGAGATGGGAGGGTTTCTACACGTCTGGCGCTGGCGACAGCGTATTATGTTCGTCCTGGTCAAGACGATCCTGGCCGGGACTCATCGATGTCGACAAGAAGGGCGGTGCTGCCTCATATCTTCGTGACTACGAATGTGGTGGACTGTGACCATGGCAAAGCAGCTGTCGCAGCAACTGTTCTGGATGCTTCATGTGGTGCGCCACGCGCGAGGTTACCTCGAGGCAGGTGTGGCGCCGACACTCGAGGCGGTGCGGCCAAGTCCAGTGCCAGTCGAGGTCAGGACGCGCTCAGATCGTGAAAGACACGCTCAGCACCTTGTGCTTAGTGCGGCAGCGACCGAGGACGTGCAGGAGCGGCGATAGGTACCGGTCTGCTTAATTTGTATGGCAGAGTACATTAGCGTGACCAATGAATTTTCGAAGCAAGAGGCAACTGCAACTCCCGTCCCCTGAAAGCCTGGTACTGGTCTGCGCCGGCTAACAGAGCCGGGTCACTCTGACGCATCTACGCAGGGAATGCCCAGCAAAAACACGTCCGAAAGACATTTGGTGCGTTAGCCACCTGGCACCAGCCTTCCCGCCCAACACCAACACGGAGCAGGAGGCTGCCGCAGACGTAGCAGAATCCACCTTGCACCTCTTGATCCGACTTTGGAGGCATCGCCAATTGGCATCTGCCACAACACGCGCGCAAATCGACCTCGGGCCAGTCTGCGCGTTTTCTACACCAGCTCGCGCCCGTCGCATTGCCGTTGCGATTCGGCACCCTGCACATTCCCTCCACAATGGCCGCCCAGCCATCCACGTCCACGCCCACCGGCGCTGGCGCGACAGCCTCATCATCAGCATCCACGTCCGCCAACAACAACCACGATGGCACTCCCCAGTCTGCCAGCGCGAAGGCCCTCCCGGTGCGGGATAAGGACTCTTTCAACAAGATGCAGGTCGAGCGCTACGTCGCGCGCGATTGGCAACACTCGATCGCCATGAAGGATGCGCAAGCCAAGTTCGAAAAGGACATGGAGCAGATGCGAGACAAGATCGACGACTACAGCATCCTGAAGAATCAGCGCATGTTTTTTCCCCCGAGCAAGCTGTACGGCGAAGGCTATCGCGGTTACGGAAATGGATACACCGACATCGATCCCCGTATGCGAGCGCCCTTTCCCGCTCAGGTCATCTACCCGAGCCAGAAACCGCGGCCCGGAAAGCGCCAGTCGCATCCGTTGAGGTGGAAGAAGAAGGATCTGAAGAAGCAGGCGGAAATGCATGAGGAGCTCGTGCCGATACGGATCGATGTGGATTGGGAGAAGATCAAGCTTCGCGACACCTTCACGTGGAACCTCCACGACAGGGTGATTCCCGCCGAGCTCTTCGCCCAGCACTTGGTGGAAGACATCGGTATCCCCTTGGACCAGGCAAACAAGCCGGTTCTTGACCAGGTCATTCATCAGATGCGCGACCAGCTCAATGATTTCTACCCCCTTGTCTTCTCCGAAGAGGACGCGCTTGATCCGGAATTGCCTTATTCCGCGTACAAGAACGACGAGATGAGGATATTAATCAAGCTCAACGTCACCGTCGGCCAGCACACTTTGGTCGACCAGTTCGAATGGGACATCAATAACCCCCTGAACTCGCCGGAGGATTTCGCCGCCACCATGGCGCGTGACTTGTCGTTGTCTGGCGAGTTCACCACCGCCATCGCCCACAGCATCCGTGAGCAGTGTCAACTTTTCACTCGCAGTCTGTACAGTGTTGGCCATCCCTTCGACGGCCGTCCGGTCGAAGATCCCGACCTCATCAACGCTTTCCTCCCCTCCCCTCTCACTTCCGTCTTCAGGCCCCAGCAACAAGCCAAAGACTACGCGCCATACTTGTACGAGCTCAGCGACGCCGACCTGGACCGGAACGAGGTCATCTTTTCTCGCGAGCAAAGGAGGCAGAAGCGCTCCATCAACCGCCGCGGCGGGCCTCAGCTGCCAGATCTCAAGGAAAGACAGCGCACGATCAGGACGCTGCTGGTGTCATCAGTGCTCCCTGGAGCCGCCCCGAACATGGAGGAGACGACGCTGTACAAGCGCGTTGCCGGCGCGCCAACCACACGCAAGAGGCCAGGTGCCCGCGACGGCGAGATTTCCGATTCCGATTCAAGCGACGACTCCGGCCCAGACTCGCCGGGCGTCTCACAACTCGGAGGAGGCACGGCCAGGACAAGAGGCCTTCGCGGAGCTGCTAGCGCCGCTCAGCAACGCATCACGAACCTGGGTCGCTCTGAAACGCCCGAGGCGAGCGTTATTCATCACCATGAGACGCGCAGAAACCTCAACCGGTTCGGCGGCCGCGAGACTAGAGACGAGACTGAGGAGCCTTCTCAGCTCATTGTCACGCTCAAGGTCAGCAAAGACAAGCTGCGGAGACTTCTCCAGAACCCCAGAGCCAGAGTCACGCCGAGCGGTTCGCAGACCCCGTCAACGCCTGCGCACACACGCATCCCCAGTGTCGCGGCTCCCGCCAGCTCGATGCCCCCTCCGTCGACGCCGGCCTCCAACAGCCAAGCTCTGCCCGCGAAGCTTGGCACTCCTCTGCCTCAAGGTCAAATTGGCCGACAACCCGCACCACCACCAGTCGCTGGCCAGCCACCGCCACCTGCTGTAAGTAAATTCGCGTGATGAATGAAAGCATGGGAACAGTAGCTAACATGACCCAGCCTCCTCCGCCCGAGTGGCTCAAGGAATGCCTTCAGCAACTCAAGAACACGTATACGTACGACAACTTTGAAGGCATGATGAAGTACTCAGCAGTCAACCCCGCCACAGAAATGCCGGTGCCCGTTCCTGCGGGTTCACAGCCGCCAGAGGGCGTCAGGTGGATGTTCCTGCCTAGAATCCGCTGTCTGGATTGTCCCGGAAAGCTTTACACGCCTGGTCCAGAAATGACTGCCGGAAACTTTGAGGTGCATCTCAGGAACAAGCAACATCGTCAGAAGGTGGACGCCAGGGAGGGCAAGGACACTGCGCCTCCGGCCTCGACGGCCACATCCTAGAAGGCTGATGAGCTTATGCTGGGAAGCCCAGTGCCCGACACTCCTCGGTACGAAAGCCGCTCATCTCGTCGCGGGCCTTTCCAAGATGCCGCACCACAGAGCCTATCGCTCGTGGGAGGCGCATTGCGTCAGCTGAGCTTTCGAGGAAGCTATGCTGAAAGCGACGATGATAGATAGGGGAGGTTTACCGCTTCCCTTATTGTACAAGGTACCTCTCATTTTCGTTCCTGTTTTTTTATTTGTAGAAAAGACGCTATTACATAGGCATCGAGCCTTTACCGCCCCTACGGCTGGCAGAGGCATAAAAGGGACACTAGATCGTCATTTTCTCTATGGAGCTTAGGGTAAGGGAGTTCAGATCCTGCCAGTGTGGCAGCGAAACGGGCGGAGGAGTTTCAGCTTGGGTATTTGGATCAAGAGCAGCGAATTCAAGGGGGAGTGCGAGCAAATGTAAACAAACTGACGATGAGCGCGCTATTGGGGATGTCAGCGCTGCTACGGTAGTAAGAATAATACTACAAAAATCCGATCGGCGTTTGGGTCATTCTGTGATGGAGGGTGTTTATGTTCCGATAGGAAACACCATGAAGCTGGCTATTTTCGATGCCTGGGCCCAGCAAGAACGAGACCAAGATCTCATCACACGGCTTGGTCGTCCACTTGTCGCTCAGTCCTTTTTATCCTTCTCCGCAGATCCTGTCGCCTGTAAGCCGCGGTGGCTGCTTCCGAATGTAACCCTCACGACGTGTCAATACACCAAGCGGCATCTGGAGGGAGCACTCTGTCACGGTTCCTGAACAGGAAGGGGAATAAGCTTCCTTGGCACACGGTGGCATTGCCGTGGTTCATCCGGCGCGTCTAGCATGCCCAGGAAGCTTCAAAAGGGTCAAAGATGAAATCGCGACCCCTTCAACGTCGTCAGAGCCCGAATGCCCCTTAATCGGGATTGAGTTCGTCTTCGCCCAGCATGCCCTTGCCAGACGGCATGTCCTTATTCTCCTTGCGTGGCGGGGGTGGGCACGCTTTAAACTTCATACAGCCTAAATTTCCCCCTCTTCCGCCCAAAACAAATTCCCCAAATCATCGCCCGAACCGATGATAAAGTGCATCGGAAGGTGCTGTCCGGACGAATGCGACGGCACACCCAGCCAGCATCAAAGCCAGTCTTAGAAGCTTCCTCCGCGGGCAAGCTCCTGGCTACTCGGTCCGCCCGGGGCGATGTTTATATTGCTCGTGACCCATCTTTTGCGTCTGAACTCCTATTTTCCCTGGGGTTCGCAATGTACGCTACCGAATGTCGTGATCCCGAGTTCCCATATTGGATCTGCCTTGGACTTGATATAAAAAGAGTTCGTTCTCCTGTTGCGGGGTGGTGGTTCTCCAGTCCGACTCAGATCCTCAGCCCTACCAGTACATTTACACATTCCATTTCCCCCGTCGTGATTTGCCCAGCATGAAGGCCGCCGCCCTCTTCTCCCTCCTCCCCCTCGCCTCCGGCAAGATCCTTTGGGACGGCCGCTTCAACGACCTCAACTCCTCAACCGACCTCAACAAGTGGTCTTGGGCGAACCAGGTCGGGCCATACCAGTACTACATCCACGGCTCAGGCGACGTCACTAAGTACGTTAACCTGTCGCCGGATTACAAGAACCCGGCCGACACGGCGTCCAAGCAGGGCGTCAAGATCACGCTCGATAGCACGGCGTACTGGAACGGGCAGAACATGCGCCGTACAGAGCTGATTCCGCAGACCAAGGCGGCCATCAACTCGGGCAAGGTGTGGTACCACTTCTCCATCATGCGCAAGGACACGAACGCGCCGAGCATCTACCGCGAGCACCAGATCGCCTTCTTCGAGAGCCATTTCACCGAGCTGAAGAGCGGGTGGATCAGCGGGGAGAGCGCAACGAGCAACGCGAACCTGCAGTTCATGGTGCAGCAGAAGAGCCTGTGGAAGGCGGAGTGGAAGGCCGGTGTGTGGCACAACGTGGCGTACGAGATTGTGAGTCTTCTTTGCTTGGGGAACTGTTGGTTGGGCTGGGATGCATGCTGATGTGATGATCTTGCAGAACTTCTCCAGTGGCAGCGTTGGCTTCTGGCACTCCGAGGGCAGCGCGCCCCTCACGCAGGTCGTAGCTCCGGTCTCTGCCTCGACGTCGTCGAACGGTGCGGACTGGCACTTGGGCGTTCTGGAACTGCCACGTGATGGGTACCCGGACAGCAACGAGGACTTTTACTTCTCGGGCGTTTATGTCGAGGATACCGCCATCACGACCTCCGTCACTGGACCTGGTGAGTCTCCATGAAGTACAGTAAATACACGATGACTGACCTTGGGTATAGCTGCCTAAGAAGTGTTGGTTGCGTGGCCGCGGAGGCGCCATGTATACGCGGTAAATGCAACACATCTGCTTGGGTAACGACATGTACATAGCTCTTCTTCACTGCACATATTGCAATTTGGAAATATCGAATCTTGACTCTCTGTCATCTAATCGAATGTCTCTAAGGCTGACGGTGCCCCTCTTCAGACATCATGATCGTCTGGTAACAGGTCTCTTGAGTTTCTCCCGACTGCAAGCTTCTTGAAAATGGTTGATCGTCTGCAATCCCTAGTGTCAGCTGATGAGGCAAACAAATCTTTGAGGCAACAAAGGCAGAATCGAAGACGACCTACCATGTTTGGTTCATTGAAAGGAAGGTACACCTCTCGCTTTGAAAGACTTGGCAGTAGCAGTCTGTATCGGGAGGTTGTTGTTGCCGGACTCGTCCACGGAGGTCGAGGTGGGAGCTTCACAATTGCCAAGAGAGGTGCGCTGCATTCCAGGGATCGCACCAAGCGAGACATCCCAACCAGTAACACCAGCCCAGTACATGCAGTACGAAGTGCTGTCCTGGCAAAACTTATAACTGCAGTCCACTGTGACTGTGGGGGCAGGAGTGATGAGCATCTTGTTGGCCTCAACCTTCCGCGGCAGGAGGTCTTGGGCGGCGGTGGCCGTAGGCATGGCGCAAGGACCTAGGTTGGTGACAGTCTCTCCTGGAATAGGGCCTCGAGAAGGGTCAAAACCTGGCAGGAAAGCTAACTTAGTTTCCAAGTAAAGATAAGTGCTGAAGCATATCCATGAAGCTTACCTGTAACTCCAGCCCAGTAGGCGCACATGGAAGCACCGTCCTGGCACCACTGGTGATCGCATTTGATAGAGGTAGTGGCAGGAGGCTGAACAGTGGTGGTGGCAGTGACGATGTCAACGACTGTCTCGACCGACTGCTGAATGCTAGGCCTTATCGCAGCAGCAGCAGTGATTGTGACTGTGACAGCCAAGACAGCAATTACAACGATGCCTTTGAGGTTGCACATTGTTGCAGGTTTGAACGGATCTGTTGGAGTAAGAGTGCTGTGATGAGGCTTGAACAAAGTCGTTTGGTTTGGAAATAGGAAGGAAAGAAGAAGAGTTGATGATACCCTTGGTGAGCTGAGAAGAACAAGAAGAAGGGATATCGAAGGAAAGGAAAGAGAGGTGGAGGAAAAGAGAGAAAGAAGGCAAGCAGCAAGAGAGTCAAAAGGTTGATAACGAATTTCGCAAGTCTAGCAACTCGCTTGGAGGTACGTAAGGAGGGAAGGAGCAAGCGACATCGCAGGAAAAGAGACAAAGACAGGTTGCCTGATCTTTCTGACAAGAGCCTAGAGCCGAAGAAGGACATTTAAAGTCTTGAATTTCAACTACCACACGACTCTTGCTTACAGGCTGAGGAAGGATCAAAGAGAGTCTTGGGCAGTTGCGTCCATGTAAGTGGCTCAGTCTGGGTCTGAAGTCCTGTATGTTCCACAATGCGGAAGGTTGTCTTACCCGTCATGCATCCTTCTTGCCATTGCTGGACCGCAACACTGGAAGCAACTCCGGGTACTGGTCCGGGTACTGGTTACAAGGGTAAGACTGAGCATGAGGGATTCCAGGCTTGTTCCACTACGTTCAGGCGAATGATGGATTGCTGCACGTACGCTTCGCAAAAGCGAGGGACCGAACTTCAAGATCGCCTCGTGCAGACAAGCGGGCCAGATGCCACGTTTGCGGACGGCTGGGTGCTGCTGGAGCGGTACGAGGTTGTCAAGTGCGGCCCGAGAAGAAGCCGTCTGGGGGATTCGCAAGGGAACCTGATGGCACCACTTTCCTCTTCGAGTTCCCCGAACACGCCGCCGATACAATGAAATCAAAAGCCGAGAAACACGCCACTTCACCGGGACCAATCACCAAAAACAAAATCTCATAGTGTTGCTTGTAAGCAGGCCCGAGGCCGTGATCAATATCGTATACACCAATAGGCGATGCCCGAGTTACAAAGAAAGAAACCAGAAAAAACCTAGGCAGAAGCGAACTTCGAGGCGGCAGTGAAGTAAAGCGTAAAGGTGCAAGCGATGCTGAGAATCCATGAGAGACTGCGCACCGGGGCCCAATTGCGGTTGTCCTGCAGACGAATGTAGACGATGTTGTACAAGATGCGGAGGCCGATGTAGCTGAAGCTGATGGTATTAACAAACCGGGGGTCCACACCGGCCACGTTGGCAGCGACCACGCCGGCCGCATAGAGGCCGAGAGTCTCGAAGCCGTTCGCAGCGGCGGCCTCGGCGCGGAAAATCCGGGCTTTGATCTGGAGCGACGGTCAGTCACCAACTCCCAAGACTCGGGCGGAGGGAGACGCACTATCTTATTCAACTTCTCGTCGGCCGCGACGACGTCGTTGAGCTTACGCGGGTTGGCTACGTCGTAGAGCTTTCCCGAAGCCATGGAGGCGTAGGTGTGAGCGGCCATGATCGACGCTACTGCGGCTGGGACCTGTCTCCATCGTGAGCTTGGTGACGCGATGAAGCCTCAGGTGAGGGGTAACTAACCGTGTACAGCGACAGGCCCTTTTGGGCAATATCCAAACCGAGGAACGACATATTCAACAGGACTGTGGTATTACAGGTATCAATCGGTGTCAAGTGGGAAGTGATGCAAAGCGTTGGAGAACCAGCTGTATTGACAGAACGTATCCCCCATATATATGTACCAGCCAGATCATCAACTGAAAACTGCAAGATGACTTGTTTATCAGACATAAATAACGGGACGGCACAGCTGCGGACTCCGGCGGGAAAGGAGCAATGGGGTCGCCCGAGGCACACAGGTTGCCCCGAATTGGGAGCCGTCTTCGGCTGTGCAAGGCGAATCTATCAGACTATCATTGACACTTTGGCGTGCAGATTCTATGTCAACCTAGCTGTCAACTCTGGGAGTTCATTGGCAGCACATGGCCCAGCCCCTGTACGAACCCACAAGGGCCAACTGCAACTGTGCCGGGAGGAATCGTGATGTCACACAAAACGGCATTTATACTCGTCCAGCCAATCCGAGAGGGCCGTGCATAACTCTCAGGATTTAAGCATTGTGTAAGGCACGACGGCCTCTCATTGGGCGACGGGTTTGCGTCCAAGCCGTGCTGTCGTCGATGCGATTTCTTTTCTCCGGAGCTGTGACCCGTCAGGTACACCCACACATATCCAGCTGCCAGCTCGCTACAGAAAATATTCTGTCTCTGGTTTACTCGATTTTGTATTCTGAAAGGTAGATTGTATGTCGCGTGCTGCAGCAGTTCCAAGTCTTGCTGACATTTGTTTAGACTTCCAGTGCTGGAAGAAAATGCGACGTCTTGGCAAACGCACAGCTGCGTCGAAACATCGGCTCGACTGGCTCGCTTTTTTCTCGGTTCCCCAGCTTCGATTTCCGGGTCCGTCGACAAGACCATTCAGCACAAATCACCACAACCCAGCACCGACGACTTGACCAAGAGAGAGACTGCGCAAGATGACGATCAGCCCGGCTCACGGGCCTTCGGGACAAAAATCCCCCAGAGGCTAGCTGACAGCTTCGACATGATGGTGAGTATTTTAGGACTGCGCTGGAGCACGAGCTCCGGCCAATGAGCGTCGAGCACTCGACCCTGGCCGCCGCCCTGCACCTCTCACTGCTCAGGCTCGCTCTCTCACACCCGATCACCCATGGGGCCCCGGCGCAAAAACCAGTGAAAAAATCTCGAAAAGCCGGCTGCAGGTTGGGATAAGTCATGGACTGCCCGTGTGTGGCCAACGGTCTGATCTCGCACATCGACGCCCCCCTTCCGAGATCCCAACCGAAAACTCTTCTGGAACTGACGACTTTTCCGCTGAAGGCTCCAGCTCTTCCGAGCATTGGCGGCGCGGAACTGACTCGATGGTCGCAAGATTTTGGGCTGCACCTACTCCTACTGCTATTTAGACGGAGCGAAAGAGACGTTGGAGAATAGCTGGCCGACAGGTTGCGAGTCGAGCCTCTTTTGCGCTCAAAGGCACCCGACTCATGCCCATCCATCATTTCACCCTCGCCTCCGGGCTGGCTGTCTATGACGGTTGCTTCAGCGGACTTCAAGGGCGCAGGCAGGCGAATCAAGCGATTTCAGCTCTGTTGCAATTCGTCTCATCACAAGCACACCCACACCCACACACCAACAGCCATACCGGGGTTCTGGCTCCTCGAGTGAGGATGCTATTAACTGCCTTGCCCTGGGCGTCGTTGGCGTGTTCCATTATGCGTTCGTTTGCCACGGTCGCTCCCTGCCCGTTTGTCATCGCATAATGGTCAAGCGACCAGCCGGACGACTCCCAGGCAGAAGCCATGTTTGTCATCGGGCCGTCGTGGAGGGGGAGCGCAAACTTACATGACCATCGGAATCTGAAGCCTGCTCTGAGGCTGGAGGGGAGAAAACCAACCTGAGGAGTGAAGGTTTTTATTAGTCCTGCCAATTGCAGGCGTGGCGCATGATTGTGAGGCTGCCACCTTGAAGAAACGTCCACAGTATGGTCGGGCAGGCTTTGGTCCAACAACCAGGAATACGGCCAAGAGGAAATCAAGTGAGATCCAGATTTTCACACAAACATGGAACTGCAAAATCCCATGCAGGAAGCGACGGCCGCTTGCACCTGAGGAATGTGAATGGGGCCAGGGATGCTAATGAGATTGGATGCCAGGCCACACAGGAATTGGGTTGGTCTAGACGAATGCAGCACTTGCAGACGCGAACCCTGAATCAAGCAGACAACCTCCATCATGACTGGTAGATACTTCACAGGGTCGTTTGGAGGCGCCTGTTTACTAAACTAAGACATGTACCGATACCTGCCTTGACGGCAGAGAAGGGGGAAAAAAAAGAGGGAAAGGGCAAAAGAAGAAGAAAAGGAACGAGCGTGCGTCGGCGCTGCACTTGGACTGAGCGCGCTGGAGAAAGCCCAGAGGCACTGATGGAACGCCTCCAGTATTCCCCCGGGGGTGGTTCACTTTTCCTCTCTCAACAGTCTTCGTGCGCGCCAAAAGCCTGGAGGGTCCGGTCCAGGCGTCCCCATTGGAGAGGCTTATCGCATAAGAGATTAGGACCTGGCACTGTGCCGCTTCTCCTTTTGGCCCCGGTTGTCCATCTTGCCATCACCGGGATCTGCACGCGTTGATGGTAAGCGCAAACCGGCGCGCACAGTGTCTTCTCCGCTTCCCCATGGTAGCGATAACATTTTTTCCTTGGTCCATCAATCTCTCTCCCGCCCAATCTAGCACCGCCAGCCCGGCCTGTGACTTCCAGAATCACCTACTCGTTCAGCGCCTGTAGACCGACAAAATTCTGGTCGAGCCTCCACGCCTCCACGACGAACTTCAATCGCGATCAATTGTCACGACCCGCCACCACCACTTTCATCACCTGCGATCGCTGATTCCATCTCTGCGAATCCCAAAAATTATCGTCGACATTCCGTTTTTGCCCAAAACGGATGTCGCGGCAGCTCATGACATGACTGAGGTCGGGCCTGCCGACCGCTCCAGGCTTTTGCGATCTAAACGCGATGAATTTAAGTGAGTAAATATTCCAGTCGATAGAGCTCGCTCTTCCGATTCCAGCGATACCAAATTCGAGGTGTTGACAATTTTTAGTTCAATTGTAACGTCGAGAAAGCGGAAGCTTCGCCAGCTCTTTGCTGTCGCGACCGATGGCGATGCACTCCCGACAAACGCTTTTGCAAAGCCCGACGCGCCGCCCTTCACAACAGCCGAAAATCAGTTCTTGCAGAGCAGCGATATTTCCCAGTACGTGCAACCTACCCTGCCGCGCTTTTTTGAATTAATTTGGTCGCGTTTTGCCCTGTTCGCCATTAAACCGTCGCTAACACGACTTACAGAGGACGGAAGCTGAATGAGCTGGCTATTCCCCAACGACCTCAACTACGCTACGATGTCTTGAAAAACTCCCTCGACACATCTGGCCTCTTCGCAGCAGATGCCGAGCCTACTCCTCCACCGA